GATAATGGGGGCCTAAAGAAGAACCCTGTAATAATTCACTATGTTCATTGAGGCCTGATACACTGGGTTCTGGAGGTATCTGGAAAAGCCACGAGAGTGAACCAGGCATGGGCCCTGCCCTCTGACAGCTTCCCCAGGTGGGGAGAAGAGATAAGCACACAGCTAACCAAATACACACTGGCTACATGGGGCCAGGTGTCATCTCTGATGGATAGACCAAGGCTCAGAGAGGTGGCCAGAGAGATGGGCTGACCACATCTTCCTTACCATTGGGCTCTCAGTGCTGCTGCTGCTGCTGCTGCTTGTGGTTCAGAGTCCAGGGCCCTCACTGGGAAGCCCCACCCTGCCCATGTTTCCAACTACCTGAAATACTAGGCCTGCCAAGCTTAGTCCCTGCACTGCTTCCTGCTAAAATCTGCCCACCACTGCCACCAGATATCTATGCCAAGGCTCTGAGAAAGGTTCTCTGCACTCTCTTGGATAACGATCAGCAGCTCTCATAGGCAAATCTGATAGTCCATGCCAAAAAGATTCCAGAGAGGATCAATGAAATAGAAGCAGAAGTGAACTCCCACAAGGCAAAAGAGAAATGTTCCCTACCCAAATAAAACATTAAAAAAAAATTCCTGGCCGGGTGCAATGGCTCACGCCTGTAATCCCAGCACTTTGGGAGGCCAAGGCGGGTGGATCACGAGGTCAAGAGATCGAGACCATCCTGGTCAACATGGTGAAACCCCGTCTCTACTAAAAATACAAAAAATTAGCTGGGCATGGTGGCACATGCCTGTAATCCCAGCTACTCAGGAGGCTGAGGCAGGAGAATTGCCTGAATCCAGGAGGCGGAGGTTGCGGTGAGCCGAGATCGCGCCATTGCACTCCAGCCTGGGTAACAAGAGCAAAACTCTGTCTAAAAAAAAAAAAAAAAAAAAAAAAAAAAAAAAAAAAAAAAAAAAAATATTCCCTACTTCTGTTTCCTGATGGCTGCCTGTCCCTGCATTCCATCAGGTGTATTCTGAGGCAAATATCTCTGGGAGGTCCATACATGAGTCCATTATCAACCATGGCACCTTATGCAGAGGTAGTTTATTAGCTCCTATCCTCAAGGTTTTCCTGAGAGGAGATGCACATCTCTGAGAAGAAGGGCAATGCCGGGGACTTGGACCACTGCCCAGAGCAGCAGATCTGGGCCCTGAAGCCCCAGATACATGATGAGAGTGCCAGGTTTCTAAGCAGGAGAAAGTCAGGGCCGCAGGGGCCAAGTCCATAGGCCTATGCTGCAATCCTGCCTTTGCCTGCCTCTGTTGTTCTCTACCATCTCAGTGCACAAATTTGAAAAGAGAATATTTTACAAGAATATTATAAACTTACATTTTCAGAGTTTCTAGTTGTCAGAGCCTAGAAGGGACCTCAAAGACCAATATATAAACAAAGGAGTGAGATGCAGGTAGGTGAAGTGAGTTGCCCAAGTCACTTGGCTGGTGAGGATCAGGCCTAGCTTCTCTTTACTTCCCTGAGAGCCAGATGGCCCTTCCCTGGTACAAGGTAATCAATTATTTACTGCACTGATGCAAGCTTTAGACTAAACATTCCTTTAGAAATAGGATCCTTCGTTAAATTATTCAGCAAACATCTATTGCACTTGGCAGGAGCTGATGTGGAGGCAGGGAAGCAGACAAGTAACAACTTGACAGGAGGCTACCCGTGGATAGTAGGTGTAAAACGTTTAGCACAATGCTTGGCCCCCAGTAAGTGCTCAATAAATGGCGGCTTCTACAAAAGTATTCTTCGAGTGAGATGGAAATACGGAGAGAGAGGTAGGCAAACTCAGGTGACACACTGATGCAAGGTTAAGAGCAGAGGAATGATCTGATCAGAGTTTAGGAAGGTTACTCTGGCAAAACTTTGGAAGATGAGAGTTAAGAAAAAGAGATCAGTTATACTGCTTTCCAGATGGTCCAAGTAAACAGTGATGAAAAGCTGAACTGCAACCATGAAGCTGGGGATGGAAAGAAGGGAAAGCTTCTAGAGGTAATTCAAGATGTACAATTTCAACGGGTGAGTGGGAGAGGTCATGAGAGGAGAGAGGGGAGACACAAAACCAGTCCCTGGTCTGGGCTCTTGGGGATGCCCATGATGGCCTTTATCAGGATACAGTCTCCTAGCTGCCATTTTATGAAAGAAGAAAATGAGGTCAAGTTAGGGAAAGTTATTTTTGGGATGCCTAAAAGACATGCAAGGGGGATATGTCCCAGAGGTATTCATTATTTCCAGGTTTATTGTTCAGGAGAAAGGTCTGGGCTTGAGGAACTAGCATGGAGACAATCAGCCTGCAGGTCAGAGCTAAAGCAGTGAGGGCTAGATAAAATGTATCCATTCAACTAGTATTTATTAACACTACTGTTTGCCAGACATTGTGGTAAGTCATAAGGCTAAAGGAGAAAACAAGAAAGAGGAGGTCCCTGCCCTCAAAGAGGTTACATTCTGGTGAGGAGAGCCAGAATACACACACACACACACACACATACACACACACACACACAAACACACACACACTTACACACATACATAAAGGAAAGAAAATATTACCTAGTAAAAGCACTGAGCAAAGAATTGAATTAGGGTATGATGTGATAGACACGGGCTATGTAGTTCTTTTTTCTTTGCTCAGGGAAGAGTTTGAGAAGCAAAAGAGTGGGCTGAAGACAACATGCAGGGACCCACACTTGTGAGCCAAGCACAAATGAGGAGTTCCAAAGACAGAGGGCTCAGCACCCGGCACCAAGCATGTCATATAAATCACAACATCTAGACTCTTTGTCTACTCATTTGGAGGCCATACCATCACCTCCAAACTAGAACCCCCGAGAACAACTTCAGTGGTTCATTATTTCATTTGGTAACTATATATATATATATATATATTTATGTATGTATGTATTGACCCCAGCAGTAGGGGATGCCGTGGGGCACAAGACCATTGAGCTCCCTGCCCTCAGAAAGCTCATATTCAAATAGAAAACACACACAAGCACACACACATAAAGACCTCACTCCCAACTAAACAGATCTCTAAATGAAATAAATGCAAGTTGTGCGAAGTGCTGTGAAAAATATAAACAAGGGGCTAAGAATAACAGCAGATGATCTACTTTACATAGGATCGTGAGTGAACGAAAGCCCCTCTGGGAGCTGACATTTGAAATCAGTCCCAGAGTTTGCCATGCAGAGGACGCTGGTGAGGGCATTCCAGGCAGAGGGAACTGGGTGTGCATATGCTCAGAGGCAGGAAAGAGCTTGATGTGTTTGAGAAACTGAAAGACAGTCAGTGAGGCCAAAAGACAGAACTGGAGAAAAAGAGGTGGTGACACTGGAAATACAAACAGACTCACATCACTCAAGGCCTTGCTGGCTGCAGTCAAATGTTTGGATCTTACTGTGAGGACAATGGCAAGCCACTGAAGGATTTCTCAAGCCAGGTGTAATCTGATCTGACTTTCATTTTAAGGAATTTCTGGGACCAGGAGCTCCTTTTTTTTCAGTATGCAGCTCCTTGAGGCCACCCTTCCTATCACAGTGTAGCGGTCCTTTATCCCACCCAGAATTAGGGTCAGGCCACCATCTGCAAAGCAACTTTTTCCTCCTTGGATTGCCTGCCTGGCCTAAGTGCTTCCCAAAAAGCCCTATAAACTCACTAAAGTGTTTCCAATAGACTTTGCGAGTGTTGGGAAAATGGATGCTTTTGTAAAAGGACACAAATAATAAAACGAAACCACTCCCTCATTTCTGATGGAAATTTCTTGTTTTCTCCTCCACTGCTTTCCATTAGCCCATGGCCTGAGTAATTGTCTCTGCTCTTTAGTGTCTCCATTTATTTTCCAAAACACTATGAACATGTGTATGTGACTATGAACAATAACAAAGAACTATAAATTCTTATTGATCCCAGAAGGTTGGGAATTCTAAACAATAAAAATGTGTCCTCTGACTGCTTCTCTCAAAAGAACTTTTTGGAGACACAGAAGAGCTTTGTTAAAACAACAAATGAGCTCTTGGGACACTCTGGGCCTAATGGTGGGCTCTGGGCCACCAGGTAGTGATGCAAGAGGCAATTGCAGACACAAAGTTGGAAAGACCTCCCTGCTACCCTCTCCTGGGCTCACTTCCTCATTTCTCAGCCCACATCTTGACTGCATCAAACGGAGTTTAGTATATAGCTTTCAGCCACTATAGTTGTCAGGAGCCGGAATTCTCAGCCTAAAGAGAAAGTGCCCTTTGTCCTCCAACCATGATTTAATTTACTCTCCATTCACTTTGTTTTCAGGCTAAGAAGTCTCACAATTGTTTGAGACCCTGGATTTAAATTTCTCTGTGTTTCTGCTGTTTGGAAATTTGCCTAGGTCAGCCACTGGATAGTCCCAGAATTCAGCTTCACCTTAGAGAAAATCTTGATCATGATTTGTTATAATATTTCCAACTACTGTCACATATTTTTCCCTCGATTCCTCTATTTTCATGTCTTTCAGAACACACATGTGTAAGCACAAGTGCGCACATATGCATACATATCACCTCTGCTCTGATAATCGGTAACATTTTTACTCTTTTCCAACTTTATCACATTCCTGGAGATGTCCCTCCTTTGTCCCCCAGATTTGGGTGAGGGGAGGTGCTCTTAGCTGCGTTTTTTGGTCTTTCTCACTCAGTTGCACCATTCCCGGCATTCTGCTGATCCTTCAACCCCATGATTCATAAGACAATGTGACCAGCTGACTTTCTATGCTTTTGCCCCTCTGTTCCCATGTACAAACCCCTTTTATACGTAAATTCACAACATTTACTAGAGTATTAGTGGCCAAAACTTGACCACAGAGTAATACAAACTCAAAGAAATGCCAATTCCCAATAGAAAATAGTTCACTAATTAGGAAAGAAATAATTATTTCTGCTCTTTGGACAATCTTGAGGGGAAAACAGATTATTATTAGCAGAACATGGCTTACCTGAATGTATTATAATCCACCATCTTTGTGTGCTTACAGTCAGCAGCTCTAAATACCTGCTTGAGCTCTCTGGATCTTGATTCCTCTTGCTTCACCTTTTGCAGGCTACGTTCGAAGTCACTGAAAGGATACTGTGAGGGGGAAATGAAAAGAAAAACATATTGAAATATTCCTAACGCTTCAGGAGCCCAATCTTTCTGATGGCCAGCAAAAGGACTTCACACTGTGGACATGAAGTTAGCGGGTTTGTCTTTGCAAAGGTACCAACACTGAGAAGGCATACTAGCTTTGTATCTCTTCAGTAAAAGCTTCTGGATGACAGTTCACATCAGCATAGGCCCCAGCTCCGAGAGAAATGAGCTTAAGGAACAGCAGGCCACAGAGATCAGAAAACAACCCCTGCTTCTATCTCAGTCTCCTCCCTATAACCTTTGGATGTTGGCCCAATATGTTGGGAGATCCCAACGGAAAAAATGGGGATTCAAAACTGGATACGTAGATCTCTATTTTCTCTAGATCCTTAGAATGGGCCCCACCCCCCGGAACTGTTGTTCATTAGGCAATGCACTGACGAGAGTAAGACTGAATATCAAAGATGCACGTGGGCACCGCTGCCCTCACACATTCATTCTCTGGGCTGTGCAGTGTTCCTGTCTCCTACCCTGTGACTAGCTTTTTGACTCGGTAAGAATACTTCTTGCAAGCAGTTAAACATAAGGTCGTAAATAATTATAGCTAAGAGATCAAAAATGAGAAGAGGAAATTTTAAAATTAAAACATCGATGGCAGTTTAGTATAAAGATCCTTCTCTCCCACCAGGGAATGATCCAGGTGGTTTGGCACCTATCGCAGATCCCTACCCCTCCCACGTTTTTTCATTTCTTTTCATCTATTTCCATGACAGGATCTATTAGCTCTTTTGAAAAGATTCCTGAGGCTGATATTAAATAGGATAGCAATGTTTCTCTGCTTAGAATGTCTTTGTTAAGGGTATTTTTAAAATAATACAGTTTTCACTTGGGATACTGATACCAGATAATGTCCTACCTTGCTTTTATTGTCCCCAAAGGTTAAAAAAAAAAACCCTTTATATCTTATATTTATGCTACATATATATTTTATATTAAGGTATAGGTTCACCCTCTGTTTGGAAAAAAAATCTCTAATTTACAATAGCAGTACCAATTGAGCTTACCATGGGCCTCATGGTTAGTTCAGCCCTTCATACATATTATCACATCTAATCTTCATAGCAATTCTACGAAATAGGCACTGCTGTTCCTCCAATTCCAAAGATGAAGAAACTGAAGCTCAGGAAAAACACATATGTAAGGTCCCTCAGCTATTAATGTGGAGTCAGGTTCCCAAGCCAGGCCTGCTGGTCTCCAGAAATCTAAACTCTCAATGACTAAGTTTCTCGTCTAGATTCAGTGTTTTCGTACAGCTACTGGTTCATGGTTTTATGATAACCTGAATCCCTAAAACTACAAATGAAGAGATGGTGTGGCAGCCATGGAGGGCACTTCTCAGGCCACCTGTCAAGAGAGATCCTGGAGAGAAGAGCACTGTTGGCTGACAGGCTCCAGCTGCCATACCTTCCAGATTCGCACAGAGTTCACAGGCAATGTCGCTGCTGGGGCCACCCTCTCCCCAGGCTGTTCCTGCCCAATGATACAAAGCACAGCAGGGGGACTAGAGCCAGGCTATTCCTGCCTGACAGGGGACCTCTCTGATAGGCAGTCTGTGCTCTGGGGCTCCCCATCAGCCTGGCTGAGACTTTCCCAGAGCTGCACTGTCAGCTGAGGCTCTCCCTACACACCCCTCCTTCCATTCTCTCTCCTTCCACAGGGGTTCAACCTGCCTCCCGGTCTGAAGGTCCCTCCTGCCCACTCCTGGCCCCTCCTCCTTTATCCTTCTTAGAAACTTCCCCCACGACATCTCTCACACTTCTCGTTCTGCTTTAGCATCTGCTTCTCAGAGGACCCAAACTGATATGAATGATGTGATATAGTCATATCATACCAAACTGATAGGAATGATGTGATATACACAGAGACATTGATCTTAGCAACTTAACCCCGGGCATTTTATCTACAAAGGAGACAAAATTGGCACTCTATGTATATAAATGGTATATAAATATTATCGCTTAAAGGAAAACTTTTAATATAAAATTTTCCAGATAGATTTTTCGATATTAGGCAATGCTTCCCAAATATATATGTTTGCACACTGAACTAGTCCACATGTAAAACCAAGATTTTATCAATATGTTATTTTTACTGAACAGCATTGCCTTAATAGCACTTGCAGTAACAGTACCCATCTGCCATCTTATTTAAAAAAAAAAAAAACAACAACACTATTTGAGCTCACTGTTGTCAATTTATCCTTAAATCCTTATTTAGGCCTCAGGTGGCTACTGCTATGGGAAGGTGCAGCCCCAGCAACTATTCAGTTCCCTTGAGATTTCTGTTTGTTCAGGTCTTGGCCTTCTCTGTTGGCCTGTGCCAATTAACTGGGACGGCACAGTGTGTGGCACCAGATTTTCTTCCTTTCCTATAGTTGTTGAATTTCTTTCTGAAAACATTGTTAGTGTCAGCAGAAAACCCAGGAAACTTGATTCAACCCTGGCCCTGCCTCCTGCCTGTGCCTGGAATCTGCGATGCTGGGCAGAGGAGAACCCAGCATGTAAACAGAGTAGACAAGGACCTGGCCTCTGTGATGGGACGTGTGGCCAAGTCACACGGATCCATTATTCATGCCCACATGTGTGAATGCACAATGTAAAACTGGTGGCAAGATGAAGAAGAAAAAGGCCCTAAAGAAAGAAAAACACAGACTGCAGAGGGCTGAGAGGCAAGTCAAGAATTATACAAAGTAAATTCACCTTATCTACATTCTGCTCCATGTATTTTAACGTATACTCATCAGCATTGAGCAAATGAAACACATAACCATTCACATTCACTGTGACTCCAATGTAGAACTCCTCAGCCTTGAAATATTCAGACAGTTCACTTTTAAAGACTGGTTGTCCAGGCTTCTTAACGCGACTTCTTTTCAAGAACATTCCACCAGTAACTCCTATAGAAAAATAGAAAAGTTCATGAGCAGTCTTTATTCTTGAAAGAAGCATCTGATTGACTTCAGAGTTACTTATCTTCAGGCACAGACCACCATATAAGTTACCTGTGAACTCATATTGCCTGTTATTTTTGGACTTAAGGGAGGAAAGAGGGAGTGAACAAAGAAATAAGACTTCCTAGGTGAGGGTGTTCAAGACAAAAAGCAAAGCTGGGCAGGGTGGAATATGCCTGAAGTCCCAGCAACTCAAGAGGCTGAGGCAGGAGGATCGCTTGAGGCTAGGAGTTCAAGACAACCAGCCTGAGCAGCATACCAAGATTCCATCTCAAAAAAAAAAAAAAAAAAAAAAAAAGAAAAAGAAAAAGAAAAAGAAAAAATGGCATGGAATTCTACCATTTTCTTCTCTCTCTCTACTCTCTTCCCAGTCCAATAAATACTTGGCAAAGACCTCCTATATATGCCCAGCAGCATAATGGGAGAGTGGAACATCAGGAAGATACTCATCTTTAGAGCATGTTTGAATAGTAGCAGTTGGAAAATTCCTCACTTGTGCTTATTTCCACCTATTTGTCCCAGATGATGTCTTATACTTAATCTGATATGCAGATTAAGTAGCAAATGCCCTACTTCTGTAAAGGAGATTACTTAAATTTTTAAAGATAACTATGGGAGTCCCCTTAAATCTTTTCTTCCCTTCTGTTTCACACATGCTGCAACTTGTTTGGCCACATCTTCCCCATTCTAAATGTATTAAGAGTTGATTTTTGACCTGTAAGAACATGACTTATATTCATCCCTATGCAATTTCATATTTTAAGATTTGATCCATTATTGAAATCACCGTAGAGCCTTAGTTATACAAGTTATTCATTACTCACTGGTGTGCTAAGTAGCTTATACCAGCTCAAAGGAGCTGACAGTTGAATTTTCAGAGATTTCGCAAGCCAGTTTTCAAACTCTTGGCTGCTTGAAATTGGCCATGGTTGGGGTATTCACACCATGGAAACTGGCAAAGAGTATAAATCAGGGCTTTTAAAATATTTTCAAAGAGCCAGTTAACCAGCACATCACTGATTATTCTGCCTAAATGTATGTCTTCAGCATAGATAAAAGTTTTAAACATGTTGAGACAAAGAACAGGCTCCTACAGTGCCATGATTAGGTAAGTCAATGGCTCTCCTCAGCGATGGCTGTGGTACCAGCATATTGCAGAGAGGCATTCTGTGGGCCTGAGTGCTGGAACCTTGGCAACAACCTCAACAGACAGAAGGGCCAGATAAAGATGGACCCTGAAGATTGAATTTGTGTATCTGGGATTCTTGTCTCACAGCCAAACAAAAATGTTGTAAGTAGGACTATCAAGAATACAGACTTCCTCTTGGCTTACTGGCTGCGAGTAGAACCAGTGGTACCTAGACCATGATTCTGAAGCCATCGGGTTCCATAGAGGTGCTTCAGAGGCCACAGAGGAAGTAGGGATAGTGGCAAAAAGGAGGTAACTCCAGGTACCCCAACCCAAAACCAACCAAAACTGTTCCGCCTTTATCATTTTAAATGTTTAGGTTCCCATTTAAGAGACTGGTTTTTTTTAAAAAAAAAAAAAAAAAAAAAAAAACACTCTATTGTTCAGGGTTTTTTTTAAAAAAATCTCTATTGTACATAATCTAGGCTACAAAAACAGATCATGTTACCTAATTTTCAGCATGAAGAGACACTTACATGTTCTCAAGAAAATACTATGAGGACTATCTCTCTTACCTGAATTATTCTCTATAGGTTCGAACACTGAAATGGTGTCATCAGCGAGATAATATGAAATAACAAATATCCTGTCCAAGTCAACGTATTTTTCTGTGTCTAGTTTTGCAAAAAACCGGAGTATATTGCTTTCTAAGCCATACCTAAATGGAAGAGAAATGAGAGTTACAGAGATATACAGGAAATCTTCCACGTATTATGTTTTTAAAAGTCTGCAAAAGATATAATGTGGCTTTAATATAGTAGGTATAAACTGTCCAAAGTGAAAGCATGCAACCATTTTCTAATTAAGGTTCTAAATCTAAATGCAGGGCAATTGTCTCAGTATATTAAAATATCTCTGATTCTTTACATGTCCTGGGTAACATATTGGGAAAATGAACCCAAAACAAACCTCATAAACACACTGCTCAAACCAGCTGCACGAACTGGTTGTTCTCCAATGACGAAGCTAGTTACCAATCACAATAATCATGTTGGAAAGAAGAGCAAGCACCTAGCCCTGCTGCCTGGGCAATCCTGGGCTCTGCCAGGATCTGGGGCCATCACTCCCATTCACCACTCACTGTCTCATGCCCTTCCGCTTTTCTGTCTTCCAGCCCACATCTTCCCCTCTCTGACTCACTCCTCCAGCTACCCAGAATCCCCCCAACTTCCTTCAAGGGAAAAATTAACTTTTCCTTTTCAAATGCGATAACACCTATGACAGACCCACCTTTTTTTTTTTTAATAGTGTTTATCACTCGTATTGTAAGCCACTACAAGTCTGTTTTCCAAGGCCAAAGACTGTCTTATTAACCATTACCTAATTTACATTATAAGTATTCAATAAATGTTCATGGAAAATTGTTATGATATCTGTATCTATTGGTATTTGCATTCAGATTTCTATGCATTAATAGAATAGTCTAGTAGGCTAAAGATAGGATCAAATTATAGAATTAAAAGTTACCAAAGCTGATTGCCTGGTCACTGAAGAAATTGATTTATAATCTGTTAGCAGAAGCGTGTCTGCAGATATCAGCTAGTGAAAGGTGGACTTTGTAACAAACAATAAACCCTTGGAGAGGTCTTTGATAATTAAAATCATTACCCCAAGGAAGTACACAGGAGAATAAACCATGTCCTCTGTCACAACTCTAAGCAGAAAAGTCTTCCCTTGCAGGGTCTCCTATGCTGAAAATCATTCTTTCCTTGTGTTCACAGTGATTAAAAAATAAACCAAGTATTTCTGATTTGCAGAGGCAAAAAGTGCTTTTCTCTGCCCCCTTCTCAGACTGGACAAGAATCAGAGCTGAAAAAGGATGGCACCAAGATTCTTAGGCTTGAGACAGTGTGCAGCAGTTTGGAAAATTCGCCTCAGAACAGCCTGAGCAAAGCAGTTAGGTCTCCATGGCTCTGTTTTCTCGACATCCAGTTCCCCGGCTTCAGACAGACCTCATATAGTCTGGGAGGAAGCTATGCCTTGCCAACCGTCTTCTCTGGTACATAATTGGATTTATAAGTAACAGATAGATTTGATAGCCCCTGTCTCACACACACAAAACCGTCTAACTTTCCAGATAGCCAAAATATCACTGCAACAACTGAGGAAGGTCTAACTTCAGGCAAAGAAATATTACTGTAAATTTAACTTCTTATAACCTACATAAATTTATAAGTGTATATGTTAAGCGTGGGTTTTTCACACATTCAACATGCCTTTTTTTCATCTAAATCTAGTGTTCTGGAGATCTCATTAATCAAGAATATAATCTACACAATAAAATCTTCAGACTAGCAGTTCACAAAGTCTATTGTATATAAAAGTCACCTGGGGAGCTTGTTAAATATGCAGAATCCAGAGTCCTATCCCCAAAGATACCGGGGGATTCGGTAGTTAGCTCACATTTCCAGAAACCTGCATTATTAAGAAGAACCCCAGAAGATTCTGATAAGGTGGTCCCCTGGGCATACTCTGAGAAGCTCTGCAAGTGTCTTCAGATGTTTCCCTAATAGCTACTTCTCAAACTTCTCAGAATATTCTTTTTTATCACAATACTCCAGCTGACCACCTACTTACACCTTCTGAATCAGTTGTAATGTCACATCGAATTTAGCACTATATAGACGTGTACTCTGGATGGCTGCTTTTAAAATGTGTTTATTCCCATTGTCCCCAAACAAATTATAAATTCCTAGGTCCAGGAGCCATGTCTTAACTTTTTCTACATACAGTCCAGAGGTATCTACAATCATTGCCTCAAATTCTTCGCCCATTTTGTCTTGAACCTACTTCCATTAGGTTTGCTCCTGTAGAGGTCAACAATGATCTCCACAATGCCAATTCCAATGCTTAATTTTTTGTGCCCATCTCACTTAACCAGTCAGCAGTAACTGGCACAAATGATGGTTCTTTCAGTGATACTCTTGCTTCACTTGGCTTCCAGGATCCAGCATTCTCTTGGTTTGGCTCCTTACCTTCTCGTTTGCTCCTTTTTAGTCTCCTTTGCTGGTTCCTCCGTTTTTTCCCCCAAGCTCCTAATTGGGGATGTTCCAGAGTTTATTCCTTGGTCATGCTCTGCTCTATGTATATTCACTCCCTCGGTCATCTCAACCAATCTCAAGGCTTTAACACAATTTGGTATCATGGATTTAAATACCATCTACATCAGGCGTCCCCAAACTTTTTACACAGGGGGCCAGTTCACTGTCCCTCAGACCGTTGGAGGGCCGCCACATACTGTGCTCCTCTCACTGACCACCAATGAAAGCGGTGCCCCTTCCTGAAATGCGGCGGGGGGGGGGGGGGGGCGGATAAATGGCCTCAGGGGGCCACATGCGGCCCGCGGGCCGTACTTTGGGGACACCTGATCTACATGCTGATGGATCCACGTTCACCTATCTTCTGACCCATATATTCACAAATATATCCAACTGCCTACTTGGTATCATCACTTGATTATCTAATAGACATCCCAAACTTAACTGGTTCTAAAACTGAACTTCTATTCTTATCCCTAAACCTACCCTATCTACAATCTTTCTCATCTCAGTGGATGGCAACTCCACCCTTCCAGTTGCTCAGGCCAAAATTTTGAGAGTCATCTTAACTCCTTGCTTCTTTCATACTTCATATCCAATTTGTCAGGGAATCCCACTGCCCTAACCTCAAAATATTTTCAGGATCCGCTATTAAGTTTCATCACTTCCACTGCGTTCACCCAGATCTGAGCCACCATAACTTTTCTCTTGGACTACTACAGTAGCTTCTTATCTGGTCTTAACTTCCACCATTACCATCTATAGTCTACTCTCAACACCACACTGGAATAATTCTTTTTAAGAAGAAAATCAGCTCAAGTCACCTCTCTGCTCAAATTTCCCAATAGCCCCCTTATCACTCAAAGTCAAAAGCGCCTTTAAACAGTCTGTAAAGCCCTGCGTCTCCTCTCCATGTGCTCTGCTATGTACTCATCAACTCCATCCATGTTGGCCTCCTGGATGTTTCTTGCACATCCCAAGCACACTTCTTGCTCAGGGCCTTTACACCAACTGTTCCTTTTACCTGAACCTCATTTCCTCTCCTCAGTAAAGTCCATCACAACCACACTATTTAAAATGGCAATGAGGAATGTTCCTCAGCCCCACACTCCCAATCTGCCTTTACTCTTTTCACAGTAACTTAATACCGTCTTTATTTTTTTCATGATACTTAACATCTTGTAAATACTTCATAATTTACTTATGTATTATCTTCATCACTGATGGTCCATCTCCCACAACTAGAATATAAGTTCCACGATGGCAGGCCTTGGTGTCTGTTTTGTTCACTGATGCATCCCAAACACCCAGAACACTGCTTGACAGACAGCAGGGACTCAAGAAATAGTTGTTCATTCATTAATGGCTCATCCAGGGCTTTACACCTACTAAAAACCTCAAATAGATACAGAGTTATAGAGTTTTATGGTTGAAAGACATATGAAGACTTATTTTTATTAATGGGGAAACATTTCTAAAAGAGGGAAAAATGACTGCTGGGGACAGCAGATGGACAATATCTGTAACAAGACAGAGATGAAGATTAAACCACGAGTTTTTGGATGCTATATGATTATGACTGGCACAAGTCTGGGATAATAACCCTCCTGGTGAGAAGTCATCTGTCTCTTCTATCCATGATTAAGAACTGGATGAGTGAATATTTATTGTATTTGCTCACTTATTCATCCATTCCTTCTCTTCTTAGACAAACTATTGATCCCAAAATGTACAGCCAGCACTAACTCTTATGGAAGCCATAAAGCTGGCCCCTGCCCTCAAGGAGCCCTTGGTCTCAGAGGAGCCCACGAATTACATAAACAAGTCATTAATATGCACTGTGATATGTACAGGTTCTGTTGAAAGACGGGTGAGTTCCAGAAGTCAGATTTCCCTGGGTTCAATTCCTAGTTCAACTAAAAATTACCTGTGTGACCTTGAGGAAGTTGTATGGCCTCTCTGAGCCTCAGTTTCCTCATGTGAGAAATGGGTGTGATAATATTATCTATATTCCAAGGTTTTGGATTAAATTAGGTTAAGTATTGTTACTGGATTATTAGAGATATAATCAACAGAGTACTGTGGGCACACAAAGAACAGAGTAACTAATTCAGCCTGGTGTAGCAAGAAAGATATTATCATGGTTCTCCCTCCTCAGACTAGACAATCTAACCACCAGGCTACCACAGTGATATCTATCCAGATAATAAAGATCTTTATATCCATCAAAGCTCATATGCTTTAATCTGAAACTATTCCCTCCAATGATTCATATATCAGCATTAACCTCACAACAATAGTACCAAGTACATCTTAATAGCAATATATATAATCAACATGTCATGTACAATTTCATGTCTGAATTCACAGTTTATTTGTATTTTTTAAAAAACTATTTTTTGTATGCTTTGTGAAATCATCTGCTTTATGTTCTTACAGTTTTAAAACCTTGGGTTATTCAAACTCATGTATAAGTCTCTAGCTGAATGTGCTAGTTACTATGGAAACACAGTCCCTGTGTGAGAGGAGCTTGAGGAAAGTGTATTCCTGGCACAGATCGAGCAGTGGACAGAAAGAACAAAACGAGAGACATTTGTGCCTATACCACCATCCTCCAGCCATGACAACATGACAGGAACATGGAATACCATCTAGAGTCAGTGTTCTGTGGGCAAGTTTACACAGCGTAGACAGAATGAGGGACTAAGTCAACCACTCACAAAGAATGGTTTTCCCCTGGGTTCCAGAAGCAACACCCTGGATAATATTTCATCTTGTTTACTTATAAGAAAAAATTCCCTCTCCTTTTACAATAGGGACATTCTTCCTGCCCACCTCCTTCGGATGGTTGTCCTTAAAAACAGCAGTTAGCCATCAAGAGTCCTACCCTGGAACCTCACCTAAACACTGTTCTCAATAAGGGAGGACAGAGTATAAGTTGGCGACCCTCTTATGTGCTAGAAATCAGTGGTTCTCAAACACTGGTGTGACTCAGAATCCCCTGGAAGGCTTGAGAAAACACAGACTGTTGGGCCCCTTCCCCAGAGCTTCTGTCGCAGTCGGTAAGGGGGCGGGGGGAGGGGGGGAGGCACAATAATTAGCATTTCTAAAACTTACAGGGACCATTCCTGAGAAGCACCAAATCTAAAACTTAAAAATGGAACCCTAAAGTCCTTAAAAAAAAAAAAAAGATTATTTCTAGAAAGACAAAGGATTATCATGCCATAGCAAAGGCAGACTGACATTCTGTACAATTCTTTATCAATTTTTACCACTTTTACAGATGTAAGACAACTATTGTTCTCTCTCCTTCAAATGTTCTACAACAGCCCCTGACCCCAATCAATTGTATGAAATTCAGGATGTCTTTTTCTTCTCCTTCTCCTAGTCTCACCACATGTTCCCTTTATCACTGTTTCTCCCCGGGATCTCCCGGTCCCTCATTTCCGTCACACAGGACTGCAACCCTCAGCCCACATCCTATTCAAGTATCTACAGTCTTTCCCCACCACTTTCCCCCTGACTTCTTTCTCCAGTGTCTGCTCTCCCTGCAGAAGCAAAAAGTAGCCAAGGGCAGTGTCTACATTCTATATGCATGATTCATGGGCAGGTTTTTCTCCATGTCTATTAGGAATACTTCTGAGAGTCCATCATTTAAAATTATACTCAGCCAAGCGAGAAATCTATGGTTACTGAACTCAACCAACCTCTCAAGTGAAAACAACAACATTAATAACCAAATAACATTTTTAAAAACACATATAAATCCTGGAAATCTCTATAGCAGGGGTTGGCAAACCACAGTCAGTGGGCCAAATCCAGTAGGCCACCTGTTTTTATATGACGTTTGAGATAAGAATGGTTTTCACATTTTGAAATGGTTAAAAAAAATCAAAATAAGAATAATATCTTGTGATATATAAAAATGATATGAAACTTGAATGTCAGTGGCCATAAAAAAACGTCTTATGGGAACACAGTCACACATTCGTTTACATTCTGTCTGTGGTTGCTTTCACGCTACAAAGGCAGATCTGAGTGGTTGTGACAGACACCGTATGGCCCACAAAGCCAAAAATATTTCCTATCTGACCCTTTGAGAAAAAGCTTGCTAACTCCTACTCTACATCTTTGCCATCTTCAAGAGACAGAGATATAGATAGATATGGAAAGGCAACATGGATTGGAGATAATATTACTTTAGGGGCCTCCAGATGATACTTATTAAAATAAGCACTCAAGTAAGAACCTGTTAATACGTGCATGTTAATCAACCTCATTAAAAGCCTATAATAATGTCTCCCTGGACTTGCAATTAGATGAGCTACATGACATCTGTTTCGTCATGAGAACTACGTTATAAACCCCAAACACATTTGGGAAAGATCAGACTAAAATCATGGTTCCCTTAAGCACCTGTCTTTTTCCATAAACTTCTTGAAGTTCTTCCGATGAGGTGTGGGCTTGAGGCCTAAGCAGTTACGGAGAGAATCCTCTTCAGAACCAAAACCATTATAAGGTGGAAATTTCCTTTCTATTTTTGGAGGAGGAGAAGGAGGCTTGCATGAAACTGAGGTAAAGTTCTCTATAACAAAACAAAGGCAAACAAAACATCAATATTTTTTTTTGCCCTGATTATGGCTGTTTTGAAAGGTTTGTTATGTTTTAAAGATGAACATGGAGATCTTTGTAGACTATTTTAAACTCTTTCAAACAAAACACAGCAAAATCCTGTGAGAGTAGGTTTCAATCATGTTTACAAAAACCATGGAACTGACTTAATAATCACCGTTGGTTCAAAAGTTAAAAAAAAAAAAAAAGAATCTATGTCAAATAAGTACACATTTATATTTTGTAATCACATTCCCATTTCTGAATATTTTTGTTCTCCTCTGATTTTTTCCAATAATATGAAAATTCAAACTTGAAAGGTTATGCCACTCACTCCATATTTTAACTTGTAATTTAGCCCTCTCCTATCTCAGTCAACACTCACTAATACAATTCTTTTCCAAACAGGACTTACTCTTAACTATTCACCTTTACCCTTCCCCATCTACCATCTCCTCCTACTGCACCTTCTATTTAAGTACCCTCCCTTGCCTCTAAAATGGACTCAGGTCATAGCACTTCCCTATGTAGTTCAAAAACAAACACGAAAACAAAACTTTCCTCTCACCAGCCACTGCCCCAGGTAGCTTTTGTTACTGCCCAAGGAAAGACTGCAATTGCACTCAAATGCAATGAAGCAAACAAACAAAACAGAAAGAGAAAAAACTTTTAAAATAGCCAACTGCCTACTCTCTCCAAGAGAGTGGTATGCAGTAAATACTGTTGATTTTATTTATATACTTATCATCTGTGAGGAAAGAGAGGCGGAGAGAGAGCTGGTAACATATTTGTAAGAGCCTAGGAGCTTCCAGGTGCTCATTTGCTAAGCTGTACAATCTCTGAGAAGCAACTGTGCTCTCCAGAGCAAAGAACATATTGACCTGATCTATCCAAGTCACTGTGTTTGCCCCCAACATAAATGGCAAAGAAGATGCCAGATCTTTCCTAAGACAAAACAAACTCCCACAGAGTCAATTTTCTACTTCTTCCCCAAGCTTCAGTATGACATAGGTGTTTTCAACCATGAATGAAAGGAGTTCTACATAAGCAAGTATTTCCTTTTTCGTTGTCAAAGTTCTCAAAGAGGAAAAGGACAAATTTTAGTGCACACCTCCAGAATAGAAAACATAGACCAATATTTCATCCAAGATAATCGAACTCTTAATATTAAGGTGGTTTTTTGTTTTTGTTTTGTTTTGTTTTGTTTTTTAACTGATGATCAAAAGGCTAAGGGCTTGAGGCCATTTCTAACTCTTGTTGGAAACATTTTCAGCTTTCATATTGCCTTAGACTTCCTAGCAGCCTTTGTGTGAAATTCCCCCAAACACAATCCCCAAAAGAGTACTGTTCCATCCTAACAGAAACTGCTCACAGCAGACTTGTTTATAAAGGTGACTCAGTGAAAGAGGGGAGCCAGTCTGCCAGTACACAAGTGACTTGTGAGCTTCAACTATTGCTATTTTTGTGGTGATTAAAGCAAAGTCTTGGGAATAAAGGGGAGAGTTCAAATCTTGGAATTGGGCAGAACCACAGTAGACCCTATCATTGCTAATCAATACACCTAATGCACCACTGTTTGGTCTTTCATTTCAGGAAGAGCACCATAACCATGGCAGGAGAGTTCTATGTGATTATTTAAAAAATCAGGGCCTGAGCAGTTTCTTACAACAGGAGACATACACATACAACTCTATATATCAGTCTAAGCAGTCTAACCAAAAGGGGGCACATATTGAATCTCAAAGTAATTAGGACTGCATTCTACGCTTCCCCCCAAAATTACAGGGCTTATAAACACACTGTTGTTTTCTCAACCACATTTTTGCAACAGATTTAAGTAACAAAAGAACCAATTTAGAGCTTTCCTCTGCACCCACAGTGCCATCTAGTGTATAAAAGCTTAGAACTTTTCCACTTCATCATGCCTTACTTTTATACCACCACATACATCTTTTTGAAAACTCTGGCTCAAGATCCAACTTTAAATCCCATTTCTCTGGGTAATTTGCATACATTCACAAAGCTCTGGACTCACAGCTGAATGACAAGTTTCCTCACTTTGGTTTTCCATCATCCCAGCATCCTGCATGTTTTAGGTGTTAAAAATACTCATTGAATAAATGAAAAAGTATACATTTTTTGTATAAAGCATCTTCCCAAATGTCTTAAGTTGGCATTCTGCTAGATCCTGAGACATATATGTCTTTTAATTATCTGATTCCTCTAATTCCAAGTGACTTGTCTATGTATATATACATATACACACACGTGTGTGTGTGTCATCCATGGTTGACTAGATTCCAACAAATTGGCAGAGAGATGGTATATATTAAAAAGGAGTCTTAATGCTTCTTCACGGTGATTTTCTATTCACCATCTCAGTGGGAAAGACTATCTGGAAAAGCCTTCAATTACTTCAAAGTTCATCGCTTATATTCTAGTAACCTAGAGATGAATACAGGTTTTGGGAGGCTGGAAGCTTAAATAATTTGGGCAAAGCTCTCCTAGACAAAGAATGTCAAATTACTAAGAAAAAATTAGGCCAGGGCCTTGGATTGGGGCCCCTGGAAAGGAAGACCTCTAAAAATTATGCTTCAGCAGCTTCAAGGTAAATCCACTTCTGTTTGTATTCAATACCCATGTCAAATGATTTCAGTGAAACCTAAATTCGTGAATAACATCATGTTAGAGCTATAAAATCTTTAAGAATCCTCCCATTTCAACCATCTTCATTTTACAGGGGAAGCAAAAGAAACAAAATTGTTAAGTCCATCAAGGCCATGTGATGAGACCAGAAGACAATTCTATCCCATTGGTGTAATTTTAAGTGTCCAATTCAGTCAAATAATCATTAAACACTCATGTTAAATGTTCTGCTGTTCTTAACACTGAAAGTTCAGAGATGGCCAGAAATGACTCCACAAAATTAAAGATGCTTTAAGATTTTTGTTCAATCTAAGTATAGCCTAATAAGTGTTCGAAAGCAACAAGGATGAACAGTGCTGTTACTAGTTTCATTGTTACAGTCACTACGATAAAATGATAAGAAAGTCCATTGATAGACAAATAATAACCTAAGGCAGAAATTCCTATACAAGAACAGTTTACATTTGATCCCTGTCCTTTTAGTGAAAGAAACACCTGCTGCAGCCCCTAGAGCCTTTTTCAACCTTCATGCTATAGGGAAGATCAACAGACCTCCATCTATCTGCCAGTCTGTGTTCATTCATATAAAATAATGAGGGAGTGACATGCTACAGCCCAGCAGGCAGGCCAGGGCCAGCAGGATGGCAAAATTTCCTGATGGAGGGGGTCACACTGCACTATTATAGATAAGAAATCTATGGAATCACCTTCTCCTTAGAATCCTTAAATGTATGAAGGAATCATATTAAGAGATTGAGTTTTACACAGGAGCTCAGATGTCTCTTCAAATTCTAGCAAGCCCTCCACTTCTACATAAATAGAAAGGTTATCTGTGTACCTTTCTTGGGACTGTGGCCAACTTCTTCTCTTTGTCTGACATTTTTTCTCTCCCAAAATAGGCTGGGGTGTCATTACACAGGAGAAGGTACTAAAGCAGCAAGGCTGCATACTGTGTTAGAAATCTCCCCTGACTTTCTGTTAAGGCCCCTAGCTGTGTGGCTGGCACTTGTCAGATCCTTTCTGCGTGCTGCGCAGTGGAGACACCCAGGTTTTCTACTGACCACAATTATTGACAAGGGAGGAAATATGACCACAATTATTAACAGAACCACAGTGATTGATGGGACTTTGTCCTGGTTTGGGTTTAAAGGATACCAAAACATAATGCATGTAATTTGGTCAGTTAAACAAATTGCTAGGACCAGATGAACTATAAATAAAATTAAAATGGCAGAAATAACTCTATCTAAGTAACATTAAGTATATTAATTTAACCTTACCAAAAAATCAGGAAAAGCAAATGCAAAGATTATAGGAGAATACTGATTCATTCCCCCTTCCACCTCATCATGCATATAATTTCTAGTCTTTACTTACATTAAGTGCACTGTTGTAACTCAAGAAATGTTGTGTAATAATAGTGTCTGTTAAACGGGATATTTTAACATATGTTATGAGAAATAGAAAAAGTCAGTGTGACTATGAAATGCATCATAATTTTGCATTTGCATAATTTTCGGTTTAAATGCATAATGCTCATGTTATATTAGCTTTAAAGGCACAGACTACTTTTTTTTACATCATACAATTAGTCCACAGAGTGAACAAAAGAAGTAAACAGAAAGAAATTGAGCACAAGGACTCGACTGAAATGGACCATAGGACATTTGAAGCTGATACATTTACCCAGGATGGCTTGATTTGGAGCACACCAGGAAATTCATACGCATCAGAAAATTTTCTAGAGAAGCTGCTAAGATCCTAACAACATACCAAGTCTCAGCAGTACGACACTCATTTTCCCAAATGCCACTTTCATATTCTCAAAACCAAGCTGACAGACAACATCAACCAAAAGTTGGACTAAGGAATCATATAATGCTTTGGAACATTTACCACATCCTTTATATTAAGGTAATCATCAGGTGTAAGTTATGGTTTTCAGTGACTCACCTTGATATATACATTTACATTTTTATTGTACACTAAAGCCTTATGGATTCCATACAGGCGTCTACATTTATTAAAGGCCAAATTCTTTTCCCATAGTCTAAGGGCCACCAGCAGCTTCTCTATAGCAGCTGCCACCTGCACATTCCTGGCTGCTTCTTGTCCACAGTCCCCAAAGCAAACATGCCCAACTGTGTCCACTGAGGGGGACTAATTTTAGAAAATAAAATAAAAAGAGGCCACCAATTTGGCCCTAGTAGGGCCCATACATTTGGACTCATCTGGCCTGCAGATGCAGTGCAACAAATTCCCTTAGTGAACCTAAGAGCAAAACTGAAAGCCTTTTTTATTCTAACCCCTTTGTGCGCTTGATGTGCCTTCTCCCACAATATGAAGATTCCCAGAATTCCAGGAATACTACACAGTGGGGACAACAAGACACATAACATGGCTTCATCTCATTCTAGAGACAAAACACCTTGTCTTTTAAGAAGCTGTGGCTGCGCTTGGCTTCCATCCCACCCCTCAGGGAAGTGTGCTCCTATGAATACTCTAAGGTTCAGAGAGAAGTACAGGACTAAGTACTCCCTATCCCAACTCCAAGTCCCAATCTGGGAGGTCGGCAAGTCCCATCGATTCCTAACAGCAGCAGGTACCTGCAGCCTCAGATAGAGGAGAATTTAACAAATGAAGGTTTATGTTTTAGGTTTCACGTCATATCCTCCACCAGTTTCCAAGACACACATAACACGGTGTCACACGCCACACATCTCAGTTCCCCTTCCAGCCTAGAAACCTCTTATAAACTCTGTATCTCCTAAGTCTACTGCAATAACCTACATATAGTAGGTGCTTAATAAATCACTCATTTTCATTCTGAACTGAACTAACCTGATTGGAATGGAGTTAATATCTAAGAAGAGAGAAGCTTGAAACCTGGCTGAGCCTCACCAAGAAAGGTAGAGCAAACTAGCAGAAGAGAATTCCTTCAGTAACTCGATTAGGTATATCCATTGTGGTCAGAAGAATTAAGTGAAAAGAAATGCATTCAGATTTCCATTTTGGTTGCTCAACCAAAACATTTACCCCATATTGGAGTGGGGCAGAGGACCATAAGGGAAAATGGAAGTCCCTGGCATCAGCAGAGAAGTTCAAATCTTGGCTCACTCTTTGTTCACTGCATGATGTTGGAAAAATGAGCCCCCTTTAAGCCTTGGGTTTTTTCACCTCTAAAATGGGGATAGTAAATCTACCCATAGAGAATCATTAGGAATATGAAAGACAACAAATGTCTGAAAGATACCAAATGTACAATAAATGGTAGCTATTATGAGCCTAGCATTCGAAACTCCAAAGTAAAATCTTAACTAGGGAACAAAGAGTTTAATTCTTAAAAGATATTTAATTGACATATGTATCACTTACCAATTCCATATTTAGACTTATAATAAGACTTCGTAAATTCATCACAGTCATAAAGGAGTACTTTTCTTCCCCACACATTGATGGTGACTCCTAGGGACAGGTCACAATCTTTGTAAAACTCTTGGTCTACTTTTCCTAGCTAATAAAAACAAAGGAACATAGCATTGGCACCATGGACCCTCCAAAGAACCAGACATCCCTTCCCAGAGAAAAAAGGAAATGAAAAAATTTTTCAGTCTTTTATAACTAAATTGTAAAAATCAAATAAAAAAGTAACCAGTTGATGTTCATATTCTAAAGTTATTTTAGCACTGCAGTATTATACTTACAAACTGCAACGCAATGCATATATTTATATATACATTTCAACGTGCTTATGATTAATAAATAGCAGTACAAGGCATACATTTTATGTATTCATCCATTTCATTCACAATCTCATAAGAGAAGGGTATGTAACTTGCCCCACTGTTCAGGTTTCAGGGAAGTCACACTAGAAACAGGTAATAAAATGTGAGGTTCCTTCCCTTATGTTTATCCAACAGGTAGCCATCCTCTTGGTTCCTCTTTAAGTCACCATACAAATTGAGAACTGTTCGATCTGTTATCTGGCCGGGTTGATAGACTCTGGTGTGGCCATCCTGGAAGACAAAATCAAAACAAGGTGTGGTAGGACTTCATCCATTCCCTTTCTTACTATAACCCCAGGGCTGGCATACAGGTGGCACTCAAAGAATATTTGTTGAATGAATAAATAAAATGACGTAACTGATATTGGCACACTGTAAATGTTAGGTATGTCATTATTATTTTATATTTAGCTTATTTTTCAAAGCCATTCTAAAAACAGGTTTCTCTGGCACCTCCTGGTCGCCTGCTATGCGTATCCCAGAGCTCCCTCTGGGACAAACTGTGCCTCTCCTGCCTCCAAGCAACACAGTAGGGCTTCTGGCAGTGGGCTCAGAGAATCTGGTTAAACCTTCTGTGAGGACTGAATGGACAGCAGTTATTTGCCTTGGAAATTAGTGTTATGGTAACCTTTTCATGAGCACTAAAAATTCAATTAAAAGATACTTTATCCAAATAAGAAAGAAACTATAACATAGAGCTTTTGAAAAAATCTTTATGTTTCTAAGTGTCCTTATATGTGTTTGCAGGTCCATAGGTAGTATTTTTTTGTGTGTGCTATATTATCACATTTTAAAGATGGGGAAATAAGCTCAGAGAGGTTAAGTGATTTGCCCAAGGTAGCACAGCTATTAAGCGGCAGACTCAGAATTCTAATCCAGGTCTGGCCTGTTTCTGCTGCATCCAAGTTACATAAGCTCTCATGTGGCCATAAATATTTGTAGAAATCAGTCTGACAACTCTTTTTAATATCAAATAAAATCCAAAAGTCATCATTGCCACTAGCTAGTGGCTACTTGGTGACTAGTTGCTACACTCAGAAGAGATGCTTAGGTTTGTAAAGTTGCATGTGTATATCTGTGAGTGCACGTGTACACGCACATGTGGGTGCACGTGTATAGTGTGTGTTTGTATTCACAACCCAGACCAAACCATGGGTTCTCCTCAGTAGTCTGCAGAGATCACACCCTAGTGCCCCATCCAAAGTCACAAGCAATTCTTTTACTAAGGGGTCATTATTTAGTTTCATAAAACTCTTTGTGAACTCAGTGATGATGATGTACTTTTTCTTACATTTGACTTTTTTCCTTTACTTCCCTTAACTTCAATGTTCCAACGCTAATTCATCATACTCTCTGTATTACTTTCACAGATGTATATTAATAGAGAGCACAAAATGAAAGTTTCCTGAGTACCTGCACTAGTGCACGGTTACTATCATCTCATACTCTTAACACACAACATTCCAAACAGTGACTCTAGTCTCTTGCTCCACAAGCAAATTCAGAAAGCGGTTATGTCCACTGCTCACCTTGGGTAGCTTACTCCTCCGGAGGAACATTTTCGTAGGATCTCGGCCTGAGTTGTCTGGAAGCAGTTCTTTGATTTCAATAGTATCATCACACAAGAAGTAATGCAGGATGAGTTCTCGACGGTCTCCAAGCATTGAGACTGAGTCATCCCACAGGCAGAAGAAACGCAAAACCTTGCCATGATACTGGAGGAACTGTTTCCGGGTGTCAAAGGATTCGTAGGGACGTAGGGGCTCTACATGTTCTAGAATCTGCAAATGGAGAAAATATCAATAATAGTTGCAGGTTTTGCATAATGACTTCTATGATACACACAATCAAGTGACAAATATATAAAGATATATTTTTGGCCAGGCAAAGTGGCTCATACCCGTAATCCCAGCATTTTGGGAGGTCAAGGTGGGAGGATTGCTTGAGTTCAGGAGTTCAAGACCAGCCTGGGAAACATGGCAAAAACACAACTCTTAAAAAAAAATTAGCCAGGTGTGGTGCCACACACCTGTAGTCCCAGCTACTCAGGAGGCTAAGATGGGAGGACTGCTTCAGCCCAGGAGGTCAAGGCTGTAGTGAGCCATGTTCACACCACTGCACTCCAGCCTGGATGACAGAATATGACCCTGTCTCAAAAAAAAAGGGGGGGGGAGGTATATATTTTCTATAGACTATTCTGTGATATATTTTTAAATTTCAACTATGACATACATACATATGCATCGATAATCAGTTTTAATCTTAAGAACAGAGACAAGCATGAGGAAGTTTTTCTTATTAAATATTATTTTAATACACTAAACTATACTTCTGGCCAGGCACAGTGGCTTACACCTGTAATCTCAGCACTTTGGGAGGCCAAGGCGGGTGGATCACTTGAGGCCAGGAGTTCAAGACCAGCCTGGCTGTCTCTATTAAAAATACACACACAAAATAAATCTAGCCAGGTGTAGTGGTTGGCACCAGTAATCCCAGCTACTCAGGAGGCTGAGGCAGGAGGATCTATTGAACCTGGGAGGCAGAGGTTGCAGTGAGCCGAGATGGCACCACTACACTCCAGCCTGGGTGACAGAGCAAGATTCTGTCTCAAAAAAAAAAAAAAAATTTAAAACTATCCTTCTTTAATATTTTTAAAAACTGACTTTTCTCAAAGATTCAAAATTTATATTTAAGAACAGATAAAACTAATCTACAGTGACAGAAATCAGAACACTAATTGCCTCTGGGTAGGGAATTTGACCAGAAAGGGGGACAAAGGAACTTTCTGAGGTGTTAAAAATATTCTACGTCTTGATTTTTGTGTTGGTTACTCAATTACACACATTTTAAAAAACTTGACCTACACACTTAAGATTTATACATTTGATTCCATGTTAATTATATCTCAACCAAAAACATAATTTGTCTTTTCACTGGGAAATTCACATGAGTACGTAATTGTTACTCATTCACAGATTTTTGTGAAGGTAAAAGGGAAGAAATATATTCATTGTTTTATTTTAGCTCAACAAGCTTTAGGTGTCAAGGATAAGAATGCTCTGGAGGAACAGGGGCACAGTAAATGGAGAATTTAAGGTTTACAGAGCCTCTGCCTCGGCTGTCCTGTGGCCCAGGAATCACTAGTTCCACAGTCTTCTTGATGCAACTCTTCCCTCTGTTTGCATGTTCGTGGCCCTGTCTTGGAATAAAACTGCCCCCATCCATCTGATATAGCCAAATAGGACTATTTTTTATACAAGGAAGTGCTCACTGACAAGGGAGATGTAGTCGCAAATCAGGTTATACAATCTTTTTGTAAATTCTTGAAATGTTCTAGCTGTCAAGGGCAGTCTAGGTGCACTCTTAACCCAAGACAGCAGAAAGACATGATGGTTTTCCAAAGGCTCTTCAATCTTATCCCTGATATTTAAATGAAATTACAGGACCACTATTTCAATGGATTGAAAAACGTTTCTTTGGCATTATGAGGCCTCTAAGAAAAGCATTATTGATAATATACCATTGGGATTCTTTTCAGTCTAAGTTAAATTGTTTAATTTTAACTTTTCAGTTAAAGGCAGCAAACACTGCAGAAGTAAATGTATGAAAGTCAATATAGAAGCCTCTTATTAAACTCCTAATTTCCCAAAGACTTCTATATTTATTGAAGAATTTTCTCCCTCAGGGAATAAATGCTAAAATGATGTTCCCACTCTGAAATGAAATTATTTAAAACATTTCTTAGCTATTCTTGGTATTTATTCTCAATTCCTGGCACAAAAGATCTTTTTCTGGGGGTGGCTGGCAAAATGGCCGAATAGGAACAGCTCTGGTCTACAGCTCCCAGCAAGATCAATGCAGAAGGTGGGTAATTTTTGAATTTCCAACTGAGGTACCTGGTTCATCTCACTGGGACTGATTAGACAGTGGATGCAGCCCATGGAGGGTGAGCCGTAGCAGAGTGGGGCATCACCTCACCCGAGAAGTGCAAGGGGTCAGGAAACTCCCTCCCCTAGGCAAGGGAAGCTTTGAGGGACCCTGCCATGAGGAATGGTGCCCTCTGGCCCAGATACTACACTTTTCCCACAGTCTTCACAACCCGCAGACAAGGAGGGAGATTCCCTTGGGTGCCTACACCACCAGGGCCCTGGTTTCAAGCACAAAACTAGGTGGCTGTTTGGGCAGACACTGAGCTAGTTGCAGGAGGTTTTTTTTTCATACCCCAGTGGTGTATGGAATACCAGCAAGACAGAACCATTTACTCCCCTGGAAAGGGGCCTGAAGCCAGGGAGCCAAGTGGTCTCGCTTAGCAGAACCCACCCCCATGGAGCCCAGCAAGCTAAGATCCACTGGCTTGAAATTCTCACTGCCAGCACAGCAGTCTGAAGTCGACCAGGGATGTTGGAGCTTGGTGGTAGGGGATGAGTGTCCACTATTACTGAGGCTTGAGTGGCAGTTTTCCCCTCACAATGTAAATAAAGCTGCTGGGAAATTCAAACTGGGAGGAGCCCACCGAAGCTCAGCAAAGCAGCTGTAGCCAGACTGCCTCTCTAGATTCCTTCTCTCTGGGCAGGGCATCTCTGAAAGAATTGCAGCAGGCCCAGTCAGGGACTTATAGTAAAAAACTCCCATCTCCCTGGAACAGAGCACCTGGCAAAAGGGGCAGCTATGGGCACAGCTTCAGCAGACTTAAATGTACCTGCCTGCCACTCTGAGGAAAGCAGTGGATCTCCCAGCATAGTACTTGAGCTCTGCTAAGACACAGACTGACTGTTCAAGTGGGTCCCTGACCCCTGTGCCTCCTGAATGAGAGAGACCTCCCAGCAGGGGTCAACACACACCTTATATAGGAGAGCTCCGGCTGGCATCTGGCAGATGCCCCTTGGGATCAAGCTTCTAGAGGAAGGAACAGGCAGAAATCTTTGCTGTTCTGTAGCCTCTACTGGTGATACCCAAGCAAACAGGCTCTGGAGTGGACCTCCAGAAAACCCCAGCAGACCTACAGCAGACGAGCCTGACAGTTGGAAGGAAAACTAACAGAAAGGAATACCATCAACATCAACAAAAAGGACATCTACATGGAAACCCCATCTGAAGGTCACCAATATCAGAGACCAAAGGTAGATAAATCCATGAAGATGAGGAGAAAACAGTGCCAAAAGGCTGAAAAATCCAAAAACCAAACCTGTTCTCCTGCAAAGGATCACAATTCCTCACCAGCAAGGGAACAAAACTGGACAGAGAATGAGTTTGACAAACTGACAGAAGCAGGCTTCAGAAGGTGGGTAATAACAAACTCCTCTGAGCTAAAGGAACATGTTCTAACCCAATGCAAGGAAGCTAAAAACCTTGAGAAAAGGTTAGAGGAATTGCTGACTAGAATAACTAGTTTAGAGAAAAGCAAAAATAACCTGATGGAGCTGAAAAACACAGCACAAGAACTTTGTGAAGCATACACAAGTATCAATAGCCAAATTGAACAAGCAGAAGAAAGGATATCAGAGACTGAAGATTGACTTAATGAAATAAAGCATGAAGACAAGATTAGAGGAAAAAGAATGAAAAGGAATGAACAAAGCCTCCAAGAAATATGGGACTATGTGAAAAGACCAAACCTAAGTTTGATGGGTATACCTGAAATGATGGGGAGAATAGAACCAAGTTGGAAAACAGTCTTCAGGATATTATCCAGGAGAACTTTCTCAACCTAGCAAGACAGGCCAACATTCAAATTCAGGAAATACAGAGAACACCACAAAGACACTCCTTGAGAAGAACTCCAAGACACATAATCATCAGATTCACCAAGGTTGAAATGAAGGAAAAAATGTTAAGGGAAGCCAGAGAAAAAGGTCTGGTTACCCACAAAGGGAAGTCCATGAAACCAACAGCAGGTCTCTCTGCAGAAACCCTACAAGCCAGAAAAGAGTGGGGGCCAATATTCAGCATTCTTAAAGAAAACAATTTTCAACCCAGAATTTCATATCCAGGCAAACTAAGCTTCATAAGGGAAGGAGAAATACAAACAAGCAAATTCTGAGAGATTTTGTCACCACCAGGCCTGGCTTACAAGACCTCGTGAAGGAAGCACTAAATATGAAAAGGAAAAATCAGTACCAGCCACTGAAAAAAACATACCAACTTGTAAAGACCATTAACACTATGAAAAAACTGCATCAACTAATGGGCAAAATAACCAGGTAGCACCATAATGACAGGATTAAATTCACACATAATATTAACCTTAAATGTAAATGGGCTAAATGCCCAAACTAAAAGACACAGACTGGCAAATTGGATAAAGAGTCAAGACCCATTGGCGTGCTGTATTCAGGAGACCCATCTCACATGCAAAGGCACACACAGACTCAAAATAAAGAGATGGAGGAATATCTGCCAAGCAAATGGAAGCAGAAAAAAAAAAAGCAGGGGTTGCAATCCTAGCCTCTGATAAAACAGATTTTAAATCAACAAAGATCAAAAAAGACAAGGGTATTACATAACGGTAAAGGGATCAATGCAACAAGAAGAGCTAACTATCCTAAATATATATGCACCCAATACAGGAGCACCCAGTTTTATAAAGCAAGCTCTTAAGACCTGCAAAGAGACTTAGACACCCACACAACAATAATGGGAGATTTAACACCCCTCTGTCAATATTTGACAGATGAATGAGACAGAAAATTAACAAGGATATTCAGGACTTGAACTCAGTCTGGACCAAGAAGACCTAATAGGCATCTACAGAACTCTCCACCCTAAATCCACAGAATATACA